AATGCGTTCCCATTCCGCCCCCCCCCCCCGCCCCGGCCTTAGCCATCAAGAGCCATTCATCAAGACCCTATTGTCCAGCAGCTGAGGAGAGAAGGCCGTTTTGCATGCTTACAATAACGTCTCTATGAAAAGCATTCCCCTCACATTTTCCCTCCCTCGCTCACATTCCAAGAACAGACTGGCAGCCACTCTGGTGTTCCACTGCGGAACTCAGTTTGTTCGGTCTTTAGGATGCTTTGCTGAAAACAGGAAGAATTGCTAGAGGGAAATGACTCTGAGGATAACACGGAAGTTCCGCCTTCCCTCTACTTTTGGACTGATCAAGGTGGAAATGCCACTGCAGGCAGTGGAAGGGGTATCGGTTGATGGGGGCCAGGAAGCCACCAAATGACCCAATTGCTTGCCAGGATTCTTCTAGAATCATAGAATGTCAGAGTTGGAAGGGACCTTAGAGGTCATCTAGTCCAGCCCCCTACACTCTGCAGGAGCAGAGCCGAAAGATGGCCCGACAACACACCCGAAAGATGGTTGTCCAGCCTCCGCTTGAAAACGTCCAGCGAAGGAGCATCCACCACCTCCCGAGGCAGTCTGTTCCACTGCTCAACCACTCTCACAGTTAGGAAGTTTCTCATGATATTTAGCCGGTATCGACTCCCTTGTCATTTCCACCCATTATAGAATCAGTGAATCATAGAATGTGAGAGTTGGAAGGGGACCTCGCAGGTCATCTAGTCCAGCTCCCTGCACTCTGCATGAGCATAGCCGAAAGAGAGCCCTGCAACACACCCGAAAGACGGCCGACTAGCCTCCGCTTGAAAACGTCCAGGGAAGGAGCCTCCACCACCTCCCGAGGTGGGGGATAGGAAGGTAGGGTTATATAATGTACTGGGTTCAAGACGCATAGTCGAGTGATTTCAACTCATAATTTATTAGTAGGCAAAACTGAGACAAGGAAGCAGGACCCGGGGGTCTGCTTATATGTCGGTCCAAACCACACCCAACAAACACACCCCACACCCGTGATAGGTTTATTTACAGTGCACCAATAACCTTAGGTTCCTTTGCGGATCCAGGCTAACCCATTGGTCCGTTTTAGGATCCTACGAGTCTCTTGTTTTGGGCCGCGAAGCTTTGCTAGTGTGCTTGGCCAAGTGGGCACCCGACTGTGTGCGTGGTCCTTTGTTAGTACATAACAGGTTGCCAGATCCAGGTTGGGAGACTCCTGGAGATTTGGAGGTGGAGCCTGAGGAGGACCGGAGCCTCAGTGGGGTACAAGGTCACAGAGCCCACCTTCCAAAGCATCTGTTTTCTCCAGGGGAACTGATCTCTTTCCATATGAGGATAGTTTGAA